TATTGGCCAAAAAACCTATGGGGCTAGGGGTTCACCCAGTTACTGTATTTAAAACTCATCTTGGAAGGGAGCCACAAATCCCAATAGATATTGGAGAAATGCGGCTCCATGTTTCTATCACCGTAAGAGCCAAAACTAATTCTACTAATTTCAAAGGCCTGCTCCGACTCCGTTCCCATTTTACCCTCCATGCTGCTTATTTCTAATCTGTTTAGAAATCACCACCTTTTCTGCCCGGGCGCTTCGGTGGTGCTCAAAGCTGTAATCCAGGCCACTTTGGAGCGAGACGTGGTGCGGATCCCACGATGGTCAGAAGATCGGACCATCCTGGCTAAACCACGGTGAAACCCGTTCTGTCTTCTACTAAAAAATACAATAAAAAACTAAGCCCAGGGCGATTGTTGGTGGCGGGCGCCTGTTTTTAGTCCCAGCTACTCGGGAGTGAGGCCTAGGGTAGGAGAGTGGCCGTAAACCGGTGAGGCGGAGTTGCAGTGTGCCGTATCGATTCTGGCCACTGCGCTCAGCCTGGGCGTTTGGCAGAAGCGTAAGACTCCGTCTCAAAAAAAAAGAAATTCACACCTTCTTGACGAGCTGTTTTTTTCACTGTGCTTTCATTTTAGTGCTGTTTGTACTCCATTTTCTGTCTTTGAAGTTTTTGCATTTGTATATCCCTTATTGTGCTACTTTCCTTTTCAACCTGTCTTGAAGTTTGCTTTCTCTTTGTGTCAGGATAAAAATGCCACTTTTTTTTTCTTTTTTGGAAACAGTGGGTATCTTCTGTTGCCCCTAGAGGGCTGGGGAGTGCAGTGCACACCAATCTCTCAGGGAAACATCCTCCTGCAGTCTCCACCTTCTGGGCTCACAGCAATCCTCCAACCTCAGCCCCTGAGTGCTGGGGACTACAGCGCTCACCCACCATGCCCGGGGCTTAATCTTTTTTTTGTTTTTGGAGACTGGGTTCACCATTTCCCCCAGGCTGGTCTTGAACTCCTGAGCTACACGTGATCCACTGCCTTTGGGCCTCCCAATGCCTGGGATTACTTAATGTGAGCCATCACACCCAGCCGGAAAATGCCCACGGTTTTTCAAACTCAAGTTTCTTTCTCAACTTCTAATTTTTCCCTTCCACTAACTCTCTGTACCACTGTGTAATTGCATATTGTGTAACCATGTCCTGGTAATTTCCACTATTTTCAATGGTTTTCTTTTTCATTTTTTGGAGAACAGAGAAGTCTCCGGGCTCTTGTTGCCCTGGCTGAGTGGCCCTTGGCACTGGCTGCCCATCTTCGGCTCACTGCAGCTCCTGCCTCCCTAGGTTTCACGCATTCCTCCTGCCCTCCAGCCTCGGTTTTTGTAGCTGGGATTGCAGGCGCTCGCTCACCTTTCGCCTGGCTAATTTTTTTTTTGTTATTTTTTAGTAGAGGATGGGGTTTCACCCTTTTAGTCAGGATGGTTTTTTGCTATCTCCTGACCTCGTGAGCGGCACTCCCTCGCCTCCTCAGCTCTGGGATTATAGGTGTGAGCCACCCTACTACCAGCCTGTTCTTTTTCTCTTTAAATTTTTTTTGTAGATGATAGTGTCTGTGCCCGGTGCCAGGAGGACTGCTTGAGCCCAGGAGTTCAAGACCAGCCTGGGGAACATAAGAAGACCTCAACTCTACAAATAATAATAAAAAAATAAGAAGAAGCCAGGCGTGGTGGTTCGTGCTTGTGGTCCCAGCTACTCAAGAGGCTGAGGCAGGTAGATCATTTGATCCCGGGAGTCAGAGGCTGCAGTGAACCGTAATCACACTGCTGCACTCCAGCCTGGGTGACAGGGTGAGATCCCATCTCAAATAAATAAATAAATAAATAAATAATCATTATTTCTGGTGTCTTTCATAAAGATTAATAATCAAATCTACTCAGCAGAAATATCAAAAAAAGCTGAGTAACAAGGTCACTTATAGCATGCCTCTAACACCCAATGGCCTGATGTATGTTATGTTTCTAAGAGAACCGCTTACGATCACCTTTGTTCTCCAGCTCCTGGTTTTAACAAATAGAGGACTTCTCTCTCCAAACAGGGTGATGAAAAGAAGTGAGATATGTTGGCCGGGCGTGGTGGCTCATGCCCATAATCCCAGCACTTTGGGAGGCCAAGGCGGGCAGATCACGAAGTCAGGAGATCGAGACCATCCTGGCTAACAGTGAAACTGTTTCTATTTAGTAGCCAGGCACAGTGGCACGTGCCTGTAATCCCAGCTACTTGGGAGGCTGAGGCAGGAGAATCACTTGAACCCAGGAGGCGGAGGTTGCAGTGAGCCGAGGTCATGCCACTGCACTCCAGCCTGCGCAACAAAGTGATATTCCATCTCAAAAAAAAAAAAGTACAAAATAAACAACAACAAAAAACAGACCAGGGCTTCTCTGCCTCCACATTATTGACATTTTGAGCCGAAATGTTCTTTGTTGTGGAGAGCTGTCCTGTGCATGGGAGGACGTTTAGTAACATCCCTGGTCTCCACCACTAACTACAAGTAGCATTCCTCCCCGCTCATGACAACCAAAACTATCTTAGACACTGCCAAATGTCCTCTGGAGGGCAAAATAGCCCTCGAGAACTACTATATTAGAGCTATCAAGACTACAACAGAAGGAATAACTAACATTGTAAGTGTATGCCCATCAGTGCATTTGACACTTGCCATGCAATAGCTCCCTCAAAAGAAAAAAAGCAAAAAAAGCAGGAGAGCAGCTTTAGCAACATGCTTACCTGAAGAAGGTGAGCAGGAACACTACAACGTGATGATGGCTGAACCGGGACAACAGAGACCCTCTTTCAAAAACACTTGGCCAGGCCATGTTCTTCCTGACCTTCCTTCTCACCTTTGACCTTAAAGTTTGGATAGTGAGTGATTTACATCATTTCTTCTTTCTGGAAAGACAAAACGCATTATGGACATTATTAAACCTCGGCAGATTATCCAAAAACTGAATTATTTCGATTTATAGTTACTATATAATCAGGCCTTGTGGGAAAAAATCTCATGGCCTAGTTGACACCAGAAAACTGGATTAATAGTTATGTTAAAGCTATTAGGTAGTCCTTTAAAAAAAAAAAAATCCTGGACAAGAGATTATATCTTAATAGAAAGAGCTCATACAAACTGATAAGAAAATCACTCACTCTTATAGAAAAAATGAGCAAAGGAAATAAACAGACAACTCAGAAGAAATGAAATGGCTATTGAACTTAAGAAATAAAAGTTCAATCCCACTAGTAATATTAGAAATATAATTAAGGCAAGAAAACATTTGGATAGTTAAAAAAGATTATGCTCAATGCAGCTCAGGGTATAAACGGTTCCTGAACTCCCACATGCTACTGACAGAAGTAAAAAATTAGTATAATATTATGGGAGGACAATCTAGCCGTGTTCATCAAGAGTGTTTGACACAAAAATTCAATTTCTGGGCTGCTCTCTCGATGGAGTGCTGCCCTTTTCTTCCTTTACTTTTGAATAAACTTGCTTTCACTTAAAAAAAAAGTATTTCCAGGGATCTATTCCTTAAAAACTACAAGATGTGTTTAGGCCTATAAAAAGTATTTTTCACAAAGTGCTGGAGGAGATTTTTAATATCAAAAGAAAGAAGGAGCTGGGCACAATGGCTCACACCTGTAGTCCCCCAGCTATTGGACAGGCTGAGACAAGAGGATCCCTTGAGTCCAGGAGTTCGAGGTTACAGTGAGCTATGATCACGCCACTGCAGTCGACCCTGGGCAACAAAGTGAAACCCCTGACTCTAAGCAAAACAAAACAAAATGATTCAAGACAATGTTCTACACGATCTTCTATTGCCTTGAGGTGAGGTCCCAGTGCAAGACTCTGGGCAAGCTGCCTAACCCCTGTCTGCCCCCCAGTATCCCCTCAAAATGAAAAAAACTGTGTCAGCCAACGAAACAGAGAAAGAGGTCAGGCCACTCCTTGCCATCTCCTTCCACTACTTCCAGCAGCTTCTTTTTTTTTTTTTTCTTTTTGAGACAGGGTCTCACTCTGTCGCCCAGGCTGGAGTACAGTAGCACAATCTCGACTCACTGCAACCTCCGCTTCCCAGGCTCAAGCCATTCTCCAGCCTCAGCCTCCCAAGTAGCTGGGACTACAAGCATGAGCCGCCATGCCTGGCTAACGTTTGTATTTTTTGTAAAAACATGGTTTCATCACGTTGCCCAGGCTGGTCTCGAACTCCTGAGCTCAAAGCGATCTGCCCACCTTGGCCTCCAAAAGTGCTGGGATTATAGGCATAAGCCACTGTGCCCAGCCCCAGTGCCTTTTCATTTGACTGTACTCTCTAAAAGCTGCACCCATTCTCTGATATCCAAGAACAATGAAGCATAAAGTAAGCAGCTAAACTTAATGTCTCCAGTTATGAGTCTGCAGAACCAATTTAAAGATACAATAATAGGGGAATAATTAAATAAATTATGGTATGTCTGAATGGCTGAATCATTTATAATCATTTGCCATGAAGACTTTTTAATGACATGAGAAAATGTCAAGTGAAAAAAAGTGGGAGCTGGTTATAAATCTAATCAACTCAACTGTATTTACATAGTACTTACAAATAAATAGGGAATATACCAGTTCTCTCTGGGGAGTGAAATAATGGATAATTTTAATTTTCTTCTATACACTTTTTTCTTAAAAAGCCTACAATAAACATCAATATAATTTTTATAACGGAAACACCCACAGCATTAGAAAAGTACTGTAATTTAGGCTGGACATGTTGGCTCATGCCTGTAATCCCCACACTTTAGTAGGCCAAGGCGGGAGGAACACTTAAGCCCAAGAGTTTGAGAACAGCCTGAGCAACATAGTGAGACCCCATCTCTACAAAAACTAAAAAAAAAAAAAAACAATAGCCAAGCATGGTGGCTCGTGTCTGTGGTCCCAGCTACTCAGTAGGCTAAGGCAGGAGAATCGCTTGAGCCCAGGGGTTCAAGGAGGCAGGGAGCTATGATCACACCATTGCACTCCAGCCTGCACCACAGAGTAAGACCTTGCCTGCCCCCCACCACAACAAAAAAAGTAACGTAATTTATCCTCATATTCAGGGGAAAAAATTACATAAAATGGCTTGTATGATAAATATACAACAGTAGTCAAGGTAGGGAACACATGCAAGAGCTCCCAATATTCAAGAGAGAATCACAGGGCTTGGCTCTCAGATCTACATTCACTGGAACTGTTACACTACTTATTTTCACTAGCCACAGCTCAATAGATGCACCCAAACCTTAAAGGCTAAGAGACCCAGCAGAAAGGCCATTCTTGCAACTTGCAGATAAAAGAAACAAAGTTGAGGTGGTTACAATTATGTACACATAACAGTTGTTTTCCTTACTGGCTGTGAGCCCTGGGACAGGTCATGCTCTATAAATTACAAGTGGTCATCCATAAAATGGCTTATCTCATTTGAGAGCTGTAAGGCTAAAAGTAACAATGTATGTGACATATTCAGATAAATTATATTAGCCACTGATCTGCCAAGGATTAATTCCAAATCAGTAGAATTTAGCAAATTTCATTTTAAAGTCATTCTTCTTGGAAAATGTTAATAAAATTACGTGCAGAGTAGGACAATAAAATTCCACTCACAAAGTGTACATAAACTTCCTGTCTATAATTCCAGGAAGTTACAAAAACAAGAGCTATTAGTGTTATGACTAAATTTACTTCCATCCTGAAAATTAAACATGAAACCCAAGTGGAAAAACTCAAAACTTTAATCATTCTCTACGAATCATAGCTCTTTGAACTGGACACCTTCCCACCTCAAAACACTGTAGTATGTACTCCAGGAAAGGGCATGGGATATGAAACTCAATAATGTATCGTGTAAAATCATAATTCCAAAAATAAATGCTCCAACAGATTGAAATTACAGCACATTGGCAATAGAGCTGCATAATCTAGGGCTGTACACTTATATTAACAGCTTTAAATAACTACCAAGATATTTGAGGCCATTTGGATTTAGTTTCTAAATAGACGATCTTTTCCTAAGTTACAATGATTGGGGAGAAAAGGCTTAATATGCACATTGGGCAAACAGGCTTTATTTTATTCTTTTATTTATCTATTTTTTTCTGAGACAGAGTCTGGCTCTGTTGCCCAGGCTGGAATGCAGTGGCATGATCTCAGCTCACTGCAACCTCTGTCTCTCAGGTTCAAGAGATTCTCCTGCCTTAGCCTCCCAAGTAGCTGGAATTATAGGCGCCCGCCATCATGCCTAGCTAATTTTTGTGTTTTTAATAGAGACGGGGTTTCATCATGTTTGCCAGGTTGGTCTCAAACTCCTAACCTCAGATGATCCACCATCCTTGGCCTCCCAAATTGTTGGGATCACAGGCGTGAGCCTCCATGCCCGGCCTGATTGATTGATTGATTGATTGACTGAGACAAGGTTTCATTTTGTCACCCAGACCAGAGTGCAGTGGCACAACCTCAGCTCACTGCAGCCTTGACCTCTCAGGCTCAAGCAATCCTTTGGGAATACAGGCGCACACGCCACCACATCCAGCTTATTTTTTGCATTTATGTTAAGTCAGGGTTTTGCCATGTTGTCCAGGCTGGTCTTGAATTCCTGGCCTCAAGCAATCCTTCCACCTCAGCCTTCCAAAGTGCTAAGACTACAGGCATGAGCCACCTTGCCCAGGAAAATAGTTTTAAACATTCACCTGCTGTGTGCATAATGACATTTAAGATAAATACTGTAACATTTGGTCCTATGCAATAATAATACCTTTGCACATGTATCCTATCTATCACAGAAGTGATTTCCAATCATTCATGAGCTCAGGGACCCTGGGGTGTACAGGAGTTTGTGTCAAGTCGGAGTCCATCGGGCACGTCCTACTTTTTGAAGAATAATCTCTTTACCACTCTAAATACACACTGAACAAGAGTGTAACATGTTTCAAGTATGCGTATGTAAATGCTGTTATGATTAATAAAACCAAATTTCAAAACCAAATTTCATTTTAGCATTTCTGAATTCATTGTAGCTTATCATTTAGTATCTTCTCAATCGGTGAATTTTTATTTCTTAAAGCCTACAGCACCGGTATTCTCAGGCAGTTTCCCAGCCAAGCACTAACCAGGCCCCACCATATTTAGCTTCCAAAGTCCGACAAGGCAGCCCATGTTCAGGGTGGTATGCAGGGATGGTTGCAGACTCTATTAACAAATACTGAATACACAATTATCAACTCATAGTTGACAGCAACAAGATTTTTAACATTAGAGTATTTTTATTTGACAAATAAAATTGTATATATTTACCATGTACAACATGTTTTAAAATATGTGTGCATTGTGGAATGGCTCAGTCAAGCTAGTTAATGTATCCATTACCTCACCTACTTATTTTTTGTGGTGAGAAAACTTAAAATCTACTCTTTTAGCAATTTTCAAAATAGAGTACATTGTTATTAACTATAGTCACCGGTCGGGCACAGTGGCTCACAGTGGCTCACAGGCCTGTACATCAGCACTTTGTGAGGTCAAGGCGGGTGGACTGCTGGAGTTCAGGGGTCTGAGACCAGCCTTGGCAACACAGCAACACCCTATTTCTACAAAAAATGCAAAAATATTAGCCAGGTCGGGTGCAGTGACTCACATCTGTAATCCCAGTACTGTGGGAGGCCGAGGCGAGTGGATCACTTGAGGTCAGGAGTTCGAGACCAGCCTGGCCAACATGGCGAAACCCCTGTCTCTACTAAAAATACAAAATTAGCCGGGCATGGTGATGCACACCTGTAATCCCAGCTACTCAGGAGGTTGAGGCACGAGAATCACTTGAACCTAGAAGGCGGAGGCTGCAGTGAGCCGAAATCACGCCACTGCACTCCAGCCTGGGCAACAAACCGAG